ATCAAATTTGATTACACACTTCTTCGCCGCAAATTTGCCGTTATGTTTCGTCGGCTTCCCGACCTGAGACCCAATCTCTGACGCCGCATCCGAAGAGGCAAATCGTCTGCCGCCAACATGCCGGATCCCATGCGATCGGGTTTGGCAGAGTTCAAAAGATGCGGAGGACGAATACTTAGTTCGCCTGCGACGGCACGACGCGGATGGGAAGCCGGGTGCGTTGGGGAGCGGCACCATGCGAGTTTTCAGGCAACTTTACGGACATATCGCCGTAGTCCGATGGGAGCCCCGGTTAATTTCGGTTCTTTAGCCGCTCCAGTTGCTGCACTGTTCCGGGCAATTTCCAGTCCACGTACAAAAGCACGTGCTCCTTTATCGCTTCCTCGTGGACCCGGCAGGAAAAACACGCGCGGTCGATGCACAATCCGTGGCGCGGACGCAGCGCCTGACGCAGCGAACCCACCACCTCGGCGGTTTCTGCGGTTCCTGCCTTCCCATCCCTGGCGAGCTCCAGCAGCTGTTCCAGTTGCTCGCCCAGACTCTCCAGCAATTCGTTGTATCGCTGTAGTCCCTTTTCCACGAAGTTGCGCGGCTCGGTAGCCGTCAGGTAGGGGATCATTTGCATGTCGGGAACTTCGGCCATTCTGCACCTCTTGGGGGCTGCGTACCAGAATTGCGAGCCGCCCCTACTCTACCACACGCACGTGGTTGCCCTGTTTGCCACGGCTGGCAGGAGAAAACCGTCCAACTGATATCCCCAGTGCTTTATCCGTTTACGATGTCCGTCGCTACGCTCGTCGTGCCATCTGCCGCCAATGTAGCCGCCATTGCGGCGATGGCTACTTCAATCTGGTCGTCATCCGGTATACGGGTTGTGATTCGTTGTAGCCACAGACCCGGAGCGGCCAGAGCCTGACCGAACCAAGCCGTCCGGTGGGCGCCGGCGAATCGGATTATTTCATAGCTGATCGCGGCCACCACCGGAATCAAAACGATGCGGGAAGTGATGAGCCATTCCAAAGGGGGCCGGCCCAAAAGCGCAAACACCACCACCGAAACCACGGCGACGGTGAGCAAAAACGCCGTTCCGCATCTGGGATGTGGCGTCGGGTGTTGGCGAACATGCTCCACCGTTAGAGGTTCGCCCGCTTCGTAGGTGTGCACCGCCATGTGCTCTGCCCCATGGTAAGCATAAACGCGCCTGATGTCCTTCATAGCTGAGATGCCGGCTACGTACCCTATCAGGATGGCCAGCCGGATGAATCCTTCTATCAGGTTGCTGATTAACGAGGAATAGATGAGAGGTTCGATGAGCGGCTCAACAAGCCAAACCGCCAACGACGGGGCCACCAGGAAAATACCGATTCCGAACACGAGCGCGATCGCCATTGTGATACCCATGGTCCAACCGCTGACCTGGACGCTGCCACCGCCATTCGGTGACTCTCCCGCTTCGGCATCCTCGGTTTCGGCCGCAATGATGGCTGAGCGCTGCAGGGATTTCATACCCAACCACAACGTTTCCGCCAGCACCAGCACCCCACGCACAAACGGCACTCGCCTGACCCGGCTGGAGAACTTGGCGTTGACCTCTTCCGTGGTGCAAAATATTGCGCCATCAGGGCGTCGCACTGCCAGACTGTAGTGCCTTACCCCCCTAATCATGACCCCTTCAATTACCGCCTGCCCGCCGTAGAGAGGCAGCGGTTGCCGGGGATTCTGGTCCCCCGATCGAACACTCATGCGAGCCAGCGGTTCGGGCTATCAGCTGAACGTGGCGGAGTCATCACTTGATCACGCCGCCAGCTTGTGCCACGCTTCTTTGAAGCCATCCCCCGAGAATTCGTCCGGTTGCAGCCATAGCGCACCTTCAAACTCCTCTTCCAGCCTTCCTTTGGCCGAGACGTCATCGCGCAACAACAGGTAAGTCGTTGGCGCATCACCCAGTACGAACGTGGTGATGACCAGGCATTCCCAATCCCAGTCCAAGGTGGCCACGTTGTAGAACCGTATCGCCTGCGCGTGTTCTTGCGAATGGAATTTGAGGCGCACCTCCCGGCCGTCAGAAGGGACGGCGGCGATCACTTCATCTTCATTGGGACTGCGGCGCGCGACAAAACACTGCCAACCGTGTTGGGCCAGTTGCTCAGCCAGATGGACGCGTCCGTATTCCCGCACGGTCTTCGGTACGTAGCGTGGCATGAGCATCCTCCGGGAATAGAATGGCATCTGAGGCTTGGGCTGTGGCCGCATCAGGGTACTCCCTGTGTAACAAAAACGGGAGCCCGTAGGTGGCTCCCGTTGCGCGCAACCACTGTCGCCGACTGGTCTATTCGTCCAGATTGAACCTGCGCCGCATTCGCTCAATGCGCCCCTGAGTGTCCACGATCCGTTGTTCACCGGTATAAAAGGGATGGCAACGACCGCACACTTCGATGCGCAACGCCGGTTTGGTGGAACCGGTTTGAAACACGTTGCCGCACGAACACGTTATCGTAGCATTGAAGTACTGGGGATGGATTTCGGCTTTCATCGTATCAACGTCCTATGCGGCCACAGACTCTGCGACGGCGAACGGGTAAACGCTCACCCGCCGACGTCCCCTGGCTGCCCATTCAAAGGTCACCTGGCCATCGATCTTGGCGAATAAGGTGAAGTCGCGGCCCAACCCAACGTTGGTGCCCGGTCGAATCCGCGTTCCGCGCTGTCGCATAATGATCGAACCGCACGTAACACGCTCTCCACCAAACTTCTTCACGCCAAGTCGCTTTGCATTGCTGTCACGACCGTTACTGGTGCTTCCACCGGCTTTCTTATGGGCCATTATGCCTGACCTCCAATCTCGATATCCTGAATCAGAATTCGGGTGTAGTTCTGACGGTGCCCGCGCTTCCGCCGGTACCGTGTTTTTGCCTTGTACTTGAAGACAATGATCTTGCGGTCTTTGTAGTGGGTTTGCACCTGCGCTACAACCCGCGCACCATCTACAAACGGCTTGCCGAATTCGACCTCTCCGTCGCGGGACACCGCCAGGACGTCGTTGATTTCGGTGGTTGATCCTTCTTCCGCGGACAGCAGTTCCACATCAACGACATCACCAGGTGAAACCCGGTACTGCTTCCCGCCGGTTTTGACGATAGCGTAATCCATTAAATACAATCTCCCAAACGGTCTATGATTCTATTGGCAGGTGGTATGTGATGTCAAGAACGAACGTGGCGTGAACGTGGCGCTGGGCACCACAGTCGCTGATTTACACAAAGCCGCCGACCTGTCTCCGGCCCTTAGATTGTTCTGCCACCTCACCGCGTTGCGTTGATTGCCGTCAACAATAAACGCAGTAACTGTTCAGAGTTGAGGGTAGTTCCTGGCACCATCCTGTCGTTCCCGCTTTCGCGGCAATCCGGGAAGCCGAGGACAAGCAACATTGTGGTTTAAAGACGTCTCTGGATTCCGGCTCAAGGCCGGAATGACGGAGTGGTATGGAAATTAACCGCCGAGTCTGAACTGTTACTAAACCCATGGCTGGTTGACATTCTTTCACCGCCGTGGGTACAATTGCCCGTCGCTGTACCGACTTTTATTCCTGTTTCGGCAGCGAGAGGCGAATTATGCCAACCGTAAACCAATTGGTTAGAAAAGGTCGCAAACCGGTGCGAAAAGGGACCAAGGCTCCGGCCCTGCATTGGGTCCAAAACTCCTTGCGCAACCGCACGAAGTGGGGGCCAGGGTGCCCGCAACGGCGGGGTGTTTGTATCCAAGTTCGGACCATGACTCCCAAAAAGCCGAACTCCGCACTGCGCAAAATCTGTCGGGTCAGGCTCACCAATGGAGTGGAAGTAACCGCCTACATCGGCGGCGAAGGTCACAATCTGCAGAACACTCGGTGGTTCTTATTCGCGGCGGTCGCGTCAAAGACCTGCCGGGAGTACGCTATCACGTAGTGCGTAGCAACCTTGATACCGAGGGCGTAGACGGTCGCCGCCAGGGCCGTAGCAAGTACGGCACTCGCAAGGGCTGAGTCTACGCGCCAGTCAAAAGCTTGTTGAACATCACCCCCCCGACCGGGGGGTGGCTTACTCTAATCATAAGGTAGATACTGATATGTCACGAAGGCGACGTGCAGAACCCCGCATCATCAAACCAGACCCGCGGTACAACAACACCGAGTTGGCCAAGTTCATCAACCGGGTGATGTTGAAGGGAAAGAAATCCACGGCCCAACGCCTGGTGTACGACGCTCTGGAACTGGTTCGGGTGGATTCCAGCCAGGACCCAATGGCCGTTTTCGCCACCGCGCTACGAAACGCAACTCCCCTGGTGGAAGTGCGTCCCCGGCGCGTCGGCGGGGCCACCTATCAAGTTCCGGTGGAACTACGCACCACCCGCAGCGAAGCGCTGGCCATGCGCTGGATAATTCGCGGCGCCCGCGCCCGCAACGGAATTCGCATGGCTCGTGGACTGGCCAATGAGTTTCTGGATGCTGCCCGCGGCGAAGGTTCAGCCGTCCGTCGCCGGGAAGAACTGCACCGGATGGCCGAGGCCAAACCGAGCCTTCGTCCATTACCGTAGATAGATTTTAGCAGCCCTGCCTTCATTTCGCGCTATACATGCAGCATCTCAAATAACAATCGCAATCTCCTGCGCATTCTCAATCGGTAATATTTAGGAATCTGGATGACTACTGTTCAAACCCCAGCGAAGAATCTTCGCAACATAGGGTTTATCGCCCACATTGACGCCGGCAAGACCACCTTAACGGAGCGCGTGCTTTACCTTACGGGTCGCATCCGCAAGGTGGGCGGTGTGGATCAGGGCACGACCGCAATGGACTGGATGCCTCAGGAAAAAGAAAGAGGCATCACAATCACCGCGGCCGCTACCACCGCGTATTGGCGCGACCATCAGGTCAACATCATCGACACGCCCGGCCATGTGGACTTCACTGCAGAAGTTGAACGCAGCCTTCGAGTGCTGGACGGCGGTATCGTTGTGCTGGACGCTGTAGCCGGTGTCCAACCCCAGTCGGAAACGGTATGGAGGCAGGCCGACACCTACAACGTTCCTCGAATCTGTTTCGTCAACAAGATGGACCGCGTCGGCGCGTCCTACGAACGTACCATTGAATCAGTACGACGACGCCTGAAAGGAAACCCCGTTGCGGTGCAGGTGCCCATCGGGTCTGAAGACACCTTCCGTGGCGTGGTCGATCTAATCGAAGGCCAGGCCATCATGTATTCAGATGGCCGAGATGACATAGCGGAACCACCGGAAATCGTGCCGGTTCCGGCTGAATACGAGAAGTCCTATCAGGATTATCGGCAGGAGATGTGAGAAAATCGTCGAAACCGACGAAGCCCTGTTGATAAAGTACCTGGAAGGCGAAGAAATCTGCAGTGATGATCTACGTGCCGCGCTGCGGAACGCCACGATCAGCCGCCAAATTGTTCCCGTCTTGTGCGGCAGTGCGATGCGCGGCAAGGGTATCCACCCGTTGCTGGATGCAATCATCAATTACCTTCCCTCACCGCTGGACGTTCCACCAGTCGAGGGCACGGTTCCAGGGACGGAGACTACTGAAATCCGGGAGCCGGTAGATAGCGAGCCGCTTTCTGCTCTGGCATTCAAAGTCGTGGTAGACCCATATGTCGGTCGGCTGGTGTTCCTGCGCATTTATTCGGGAAAGGCAGAGTCCGGCGCGGCTGTTCTCAATGTCACCCGTGGCAACCGCGAACGCATGGGTCGCCTGCTACGCATGCACGCCAACCACCGCGAAGAGTTGCCGCTGATTACATCCGGTAATATCTGCGCCGCCGTCGGCTTGAAAGATACTTTCACCGGCGACACCATTTGCACCGATCACCGGCCTGTGATCCTGGAACCGCCACACTTCCCGGAACCCGTCGTTTCCGTGGCTATCGAACCGGCCACCCGTGTCGACCAGGACAAGCTCGGCGAAGCCCTGCGCAAATTGTCTGAAGAGGATCCCACCTTTGTGGTCCGGTTCAACGATGAAACCGGCCAGACCGTGATCTCTGGTATGGGCGAACTCCATCTGGAGGTCCTGGTGGACCGAATGCGCCGCGAATTCGACGTTGAAGCTCGGGTGGGACGACCCCGCGTTGCCTACCGCGAAAACCCCTCACTAAACCGGTGCGCATCGAAGGCCGATTCGTCCGCCAGACGGGCGGACATGGTCAGTACGGCCACGTTTGGTTGGTGATCGAACCCCAGGAACGTGGCGATGGAAATCTATTCGTCAACGGCATCTCCGGCGGTGATATCCCCCGCCAATTTATACCCGCCATCGAGAATGGCGTGAAACAGGCCCTGGACAATGGGCCCATGGCAGGGTATCCTTTGGTCGATTTGAAGGTCACTCTGGTAGATGGTAGCTACCATAATGTAGACTCGTCTGAAATGGCCTTCCGTTCGGCAGCTATGCTGGCCATTAGGGAAGGAGCCCGTAAGGGTGCTCCGGTGTTGCAGGAACCGTTTTTCGAGATGGAAGTAGTAACACCGGGCGAATTCTTGAGTGACGTGCTTGGCGACCTGGGCGGAAGACGTGCCCGGATTCGAAGCATTGAAGGCCAAGACGATCTCCAAACCGTGCGGGCAATGATTCCCCTTGGGGAAACGTTTGCTTACACAACGGCTCTCAGATCTCTCAGCAAAGGCCGTGCTTCGTATACGATGGAGTTCCGACACTACGAACCAGTACCGGATCACCTGGCGCGAAGTATCGTAAATACCGCTTAGGGCGATCCGCGCTGCGGTAGCCAATCAAAATTCAGGAGCGTTGCAACACTCATTATGGTTTCCCGGCATCAAATGCGAATCATTCTCAAGGCCTTTGACCACAAAGTCCTTGATCAATCCAGCGTACAGATAGTGGAAACGGCCGAATTGACCGGCGCTCGCGTCGCCGGACCAGTTCCGCTGCCCACTCAAATCAGAAGGTTCTGTGTCATTCGTGGGCCACACGTTGATAAAGATTCCAGGGAACACTTCGAAATCCGCACGCACAAGCGCCTGTTGGACATCATGGAGCCCACCAGCAAAACGATAGACGCTTTGACCAGGCTCAACATGCCGGCAGGGGTGGATATCTCAATCAAGCTCTAATCAGGCTTGACCCTCCACCGGCTCCGTCAATATGAAGAACCCCTGGCTGGCGGCAGGCTCACGAGCCACCGCCGCCGATTCATCTGTCCAAACCATTCACAAATCGAACCCCGAAAAGAGAACCAACATGCTCAACGCGTTTCTAGGGCAAAAAAATCGGAATGACCCAGGTGTTCAGTGACGCCGGACATGTGGTGCCAGTAACCATCATCGAGGCGGGTCCGTGCTCGGTGACGCAAATCCGTACCGTTGAAAAAGACGGATACGAATCTGTGCAGCTTGGTTTCGGCAGGGTTCGCAAGCCCAACAAACCCGAAAGCGGCCACCTCAAGGGCAGTCAGATCGGGCGCAGGCTTGAAGAAGTAGCGGCCAGCGACATCGCGGAATATGAAATCGGTCAACTGGTAACCGTGGATATGTTCGAGCCCGGTGATATTGTAGACATCATCGGAAAGTCCAAGGGTAAGGGATTTGCCGGTACGATGAAACGCCACGGTTTCGCCGGCGGTCCCCGCACTCACGGCCAATCCGACCGGCAGCGCGCACCTGGCTCCATTGGCGGAGGGACCACCCCCGGCAAGGTGTTCAAAGGCCTCAAGATGTCCGGACACATGGGTAACCGCAGAGTAACGTGTAAGGGTCTGGAAGTGGTACGCGTAGATACAGAACGGAATCTCCTGATGGTCAAAGGCGGCGTGCCCGGGGCTCCCAACAGTTCAGTGACTATTCGCAAAACCGGCAAGAGCCGAGCCTGATTTTTCAAGTTTTTCAGGGGACAAACCCACCTATGGAAATTCCCGTCAGAAATCAAAACGGCGACTCAATTGACACTATCAACGTTGATGACGCCGTATTCAACGTTCCAATGAACCAGACGCTGGTCCATCAAGCTCTGGTTATTTACCAGGCCAACCAGCGGCAGGGCACCCACTCCACACGCACTCGCGCCGAGGTGTCTGGGGGCGGGCGGAAACCATGGATCCAGAAACACACCGGCCGGGCGCGTCAGGGCAGCATCCGGTCGCCTCAATGGCGGCACGGCGGAATCGCTTTCGGCCCCAAACCCCGTGACTACCGGAAGAGTCTGCCCCGAGCGATGCGCCGCAACGCGCTGAAGTGCGTTATGTCCGAGAAAATCCGCCAGGGTGGTCTCGTGTGCATCGATTCGCTGGATACCCTGGACGGTCGCACCAAGTCGATGAAACAACTGCTGGCGCAACTGGATATTGCCGGGTCCGTGCTGATCGTGACCGGCACAGCCGAACAGGACGTGGCCCGCGCCGGCGGGAACCTCGGCCAAGTCTGGACATTACCATCGGACCTTGTCAACGCTAACGACGTGCTGAAAAAGCGTACTGTCCTGATTACAGTGGATGCAATACAGCGTATCGAAGAGCAATGCACGGCACCCAGACATCGCTCTCGGCGCGCTACTTCGGAAGTGAATTAATCATGCACATCAGTTCGGTTCTACTGCGGCCCACCATCACTGAAAAAAGCACGTTGCTTCAGGAAGCGGGCCAATACACTTTCGAGATCGCCCCCAAAGCAAACCAAACGCTGGTGAAACAGGCCGTCGAACAGAACTTCAATGTTACCGTTCTCAGCGTAAACATCACCATGAATCGGGGTAAAAAGAAGCGTTACGGTCCTCGATTCAAAAAACGGCCCGACGTTAAAAAAGCCGTGGTAACCCTTCGACAGGGTGACCGGATCAACCTGATCGAAGGTCTGTAAAAATCGCCTCACCAGCAATTACCGCCGACCTTCTATCGCGTATAACAGCGAGAATAAAACGATATGCCCCTTAAAAATCTGCGGCCAGTAACCCCCGGCACACGGAATGCGGTTCGCCCTTCGTTCGAAGAGATAACCACCAACCAGCCCGAGAAATCGCTGCTTGAACCGCTTCAGAAACGCGCCGGTCGGAATAACAAGGGTCGTATCACTGCTTACCATCGCGGAGGCGGTTCCCGTCGGATGTACCGCCGCGTTGATTTCAAACGCCGTAAAGACGGCGTCCCAGCTGTCGTCAAAACAATCGAATACGACCCGAATCGCACCACTCGCATCGCCCTGCTGCACTACGTCGACGGAGAGAAGTCCTACATCCTGGCTCCACTAAACCTTTCAGTAGGCGACAGAATCAGTTCCGGGCCCGATGCCGAGATTAGCCCCGGCAACTCCTTGCCGCTGCGCAACATACCGACCGGTACGGTAGTCCACAACCTGGAACTCACTCCCGGTCGCGGCGGCCAGTTGGTGCGCGGGGCGGGCACCGGCGCCCAGGTATTGTCCAGGGAAGGCGAATACGTACTTATACGCCTGCCGTCCGGGGAAATGCGCCGCATCCTCCTCAATTGCCGCGCCAGCGTCGGGCAGCTTTCGAATCCCGACCACAAAAACGAGAGCCTGGGTAAGGCCGGCGCCAGACGCCACCTGGGCCGCCGCCCTCACGTTCGCGGCGTGGCGAAAAATCCGGTGGACCATCCGCATGGCGGAGGCGAAGGCCGCTCCCCAATCGGTATGCCCGGACCCAAATCTCCCACCGGCAAACCTACCCTGGGCCATAAAACCCGCAACAAGAAGAAGACGTCCAGCCGCTTTATCACTCGTGGACGGCGGCAACGGCGGTAATCTTCGGTAACAATTGGAATATCAGGCGCACAAAACTTCAGGCATTTGTCGTTATGTCAAGATCAGTAAAAAAGGGACCGTACATCCACCCCAAATTGCTCAAGAAGGTTAACCGGGTTAGAGAATCCGGTGAAGCCACTGTTATTCGTACCTGGTCCCGTGGCTCCATGATCATGCCCGAAATGGTCGGGTTGAACTTCGGTGTCCATGATGGACGCCGCCATGTACCGGTATTCATTACCGAAAACATGGTTGGTCACCGCCTCGGGGAGTTCGCACCGACTCGTACGTATCGCGGCCACGTGTCGCGCTCCGAACGTTCGAGCAGAGTGAGGTAACCCCATGCCGGTAGTCAGGGCAATGGCCAAACAGGTTGGGGCATCCCCCAAACGCCTCAAACCAATCATGGACGTCGTGCGCGGGATGACCGTGAATGATGCCCTGGATCAGCTTGGTTTGATGACTTCCCCGTGGGCGCGATCAGTGGCCAAGGTAGTGCTGTCAGCGGCATCCAACGCCGAAAACAACCTTTTTATGAGTCGCGAGACGCTACGCATCACGCGTATCTCCGCTGACCAGGCCCGTCCGCTCAAACGCTTCCGTCCGCGGGCTCGTGGGCGCATCGGCCGGGTAACGCGCCGGTCCAGCCACATCATCATTGAAGTGGACGAGATTCAGGAGGGCTAAATTATGGGCCACAAAACACATCCTTACGGTTTCCGGTTGGGAATCATCAAAGACTGGAAAACCCATTGGTACGCCAATACCGGCGCCCAATATCGCACTGGTGTGCAGGAAGATCTGGCGCTGCGCCGGGCTATCCACCGCGAATACCGTTCATTCTCTGACGCCGGTATCGCCAAAATCGAAATCGACCGCACTGCTCAGGAAATCATCATCAATATCCACTCAGCCCGGCCGGGTATCCTCATCGGCCGCGACGGCGACCGCGTCAAGGGGCTGCGTTCCAAATTGGAGACCATGTCCCGCGGCCAGATGCGCCTCAACATCATAGAAATCGAGCAGCCGGAGATGGACCCGTACCTGGTGGGTCGAAACATCGCAGACCAACTCAGCCGACGTGTCGCCTACCGGAGAGCCATGCGACAGGCTGCCCTACGAACCATGCAGGCCGGCGCCGAGGGCGTTAAGATCATTACCAAGGGCAGGATCTCCGGCGCCGAAATTGCCCGGACCGAAAAGCTGATGATGGGCCGGGTGCCCCTGCACACACTGCGCGCCGACATCGACTATGCGCTGTCAGAAGCCCACACGGCAATGGGTCGCATCGGTATCAAGGTCTGGATCTACAAAGGACAGATAATGCCGCCACCCGCGGAAGAAGAAACCGAGCTGGACAGCATCGAGTTCCGCGTCGCGAGCCAGGACGCAGAGGCGGACGCTGATCTCGCCCAAATACTGGACGCCTAGCGGTTTTCTGTGTCTTACAAGGCAATTACCTAATTTTCGGAGTTACATCCCATGTTGCAACCCAAAAGAACCAAATACCGAAAAATGGGCCGCGGCAAGCGCCGGGGCGCTGCCTCTACCGGGAATAAGGTCGAATTTGGGGAAATCGGGCTGAAGGCGATGAGCCCCGACTGGATAACCGCCCGTCAGATCGAAGCCGCCCGTGTCGCCATTTCCCGCCATCTTCAGCGCGGCGGGCGAACCTGGATTCGCATCTTCCCGGATAAAGCCGTTTCCAAGAAACCTGCCGAGGTTCGCATGGGCGGCGGGAAAGCCGCCAACGACCACTGGGTGGCTGTTGTGCGGCCGGGCCGGATAATGTTCGAGGTCGGCGGTGTCCCTCTGGACCAGGCCGAAGCAGCCCTGCTTCGCGCCGCCCACAAACTCCCCATACCCACCAAGGTTGTCTACAAAGACCGCATTAATGCCCTGCTCACCGGTACGGGAGGCTGATCTCACATGAAAATGTACGAGATACGGGTACTCACCGATGAACAGATCGAGGAAGAGCTGGAAAAGTCGTACAAGGAGTTGATGAATCTCCGTTTTCGGGACGCAACCAACCAACTCACCGACACCAACCAGCCTCGCAAAACCCGAAAGGACATTGCCCGTATGCTGACCTGCCTGCGGGAACGGCAAACACTGTAGGCTTTTTCGAACGATAATTCATCCTCCACTCCCAGGATTCAGGAAAAACTCCAGATGGCAAAAATAATGCGGAAAGTTCGGGTGGGCTCGGTAGTGGGCACCCGAATGGATAAAACAGCAGTGGTGGAACTGGTGTGGAAACAACGCCACCGGGTCTACCGCAAACAGATGCGTCGCGTAACCCGTTTCTACGTTCACGACCCGGAAGAACAGTGTCAAATCGGTGACATGGTGCGAATCCAGGAAACCCGGCCCATCTCCCGCACCAAGCACTGGCGCCTGTTGAACATCCTGTCCCGGCGGGAGGTCGCTGACATACGACCAATTGAACTCGAAGGCGATAGCATCATAGAAACATCCGAAGACCCTTCGGTGGCATCAGACTCAGCAATCGCCGTGGCACAAGAATCCGGTGACTACAACGAAGACGAGGACGCTTAGATGATTCAGAGTTACACCAGGCTCCATGTCGCGGATAACAGCGGCGCCCGACGTATTCGCCTGATCAACATTCCGGGTTCCAGTCGTCGCAAATATGCGTCCGTGGGCGACATCATCGTATGCACCGTCCGCGAAGCAGTCCCCAACTCGCCGGTTCGGAAGGGTTCGGTGGTCAAGGCCGTTATAGTGCGCCAGGCCGCTCCGCTGCTGAGGCCCGACGGCACCTACATCAGATTCGACGACAACGCCGCCGTACTCATCAATGACAACCAGTTGCCCCGAGGTACGCGCATCTTCGGTCCGGTGGCTCGCGAGCTTCGCGACCGTGGCTTCATGCGCATCGTATCCCTGGCTCCTGAGGTGGTGTGATGGCTAAAACCAAGATACGGCGCGGCGATGATGTGCTGGTTATCGCCGGCAAAGACAAAGGCAAATCTGGTCGGGTGCTTCAGATGGTATCCGAAAAAGACCGTATAGTCGTTGAAGGCGTCAATATTGTGACGCGCCATATCAAGCCCCGCCCAGGTATTCGCCAGGGCGGCCGTATCCAACAGGAAGGATCGATTCACATTTCGAATGTCAAGCTCGTAACCAGCAACTACACTGAACCCAGCACTCAGTTCCGAAATCGGGACGGTTAAATCATGACAACTGATCAAACTACAGAAACAGAAATAGAACCGGGTGTCGGCGAAAGCCAAACCCGCGGGCGGCGGCAGCGACGCCGGGATGACAGCGCCGAAACCAACGGCTCCGAACCCGCGCCTCTACCTCCTCCACACCTGAAAATTCGGTACCGCGAGGAGATCGTTCCCTCAATGATGTCCGAATTCGGGTACCCCAGCCCCATGCGCGTGCCCCGTATCACCAAGATCAACTTGAACATAGGTCTTGGAGAGGCGTTAACCAACGGGCGGGCCATGGAGAGCGCAGTAAGGGATTTGACCACTATCTCCGGCCAAAAACCCATCATCACCCGCGCCAAGCGTTCCATCGCCGGATTCAAGGTGAGGGAAGGGAACCCGGTAGGTACTACCGTTACCCTCCGTGGCAACCGCATGTATTACTTTTTGGAGCGGTTGATCATCACGGCCCTGCCTCGCATCCGAGACTTCCGCGGCATCTCGCGGAACGGATTCGACGGGCGTGGTAATTTCTCTCTGGGCCTGCGCGAACAGATTGTGTTCCCGGAAATCGATTACAACAGTATCGACCGGTTGCGGGGGTTGCAGGTTACCATCACCACCAATGCCCCTGACGACGCCGAAGCCAGCCGTTTGCTGGAACACTTCGGCATGCCGTTCATACGCGAATAACCTCATATCAGGAGATACCCACCTTGGCCAAGAAATCCTCCATAGTAAAAAACGATCGGCGGAAACAAACCGCCGCCCGGTATGCCGAAAGAAGGGCAGCGCTACTGGCACAAGCCAGGGATCTCAACCTACCCGCGCGTGATCGGTTTGAGGCCCGGCAGAAGTTGGCTTTGCTGCCACACGACGCCAACCCCAATCGCATCAGGAACCGCGATGGCGCCACCGGTCGGCCCCGGGGTTATATTCGCCACTTCGGTCTTTCCCGCATTTCGTTCCGCGAAATGGCCCTCGATGGCCTGCTGCCGGGCGTCCGGAAGGCAAGCCTGTAGGCCCGCCCGCGTTCCCAAACGTGGATACGTAACAAGGAGCTATCCCGCAATGCCAATTAACGACCCGGTGGCAGATATGCTGACACGCATTCGAAATGCCATCCAGGCGCGTCACCAGACGGTTATGGTGCCGCAATCCAAAATCAAAACTGCAATTGCCGATATCCTGAAATCGCAGGGTTACATCAAGGACTGGGAACCGGCCCGCGGTCAACGCTTTCCGACAATGCGTATCCAATTGAGATACAGCGACGACGAACAGAGCGCTATCCGCGGATTGAAGCGGGTAAGTAAACCCGGTCTCAGGGTACACGTCGGCCATGGGGAAATACCCCGTGTCTATGGCGGCCTGGGAATCGCTATCGTGTCCACTTCTCAGGGGATGATGACCGGGTACCAGGCGTGGCGGAAAGGCATCGGAGGAGAGTTGGTTTGCTATGTCTGGTAATCAGGTAATGACCAGCGTCGGCGTGGCCCAACGGGTCCCGCCCACCGAACGTCCCTTGTCCCGCATCGGGCGGCAACCCATACCAATCCCATCGGGTGTCGTAGTTGAGGTGATCTACAGCGGAGTGGTCGTCAATGGCCCTCTCGGTAGCGTTACCCAAAAATACCACCCGGAAGTCACCGTGAAGGTAGAGGATGGCAACGTCATCGTCGAACGCCTCACCGACCGCAAATTTCACCATTCGCTTCATGGCCTCACACGCACGTTGATAGCAAACGCCATCCTCGGTGTAACCGAAGGGTACGCACGTACCCTGGAATTGATGGGCGTCGGTTACCGTGTCCAACAAAATGGGGATGGGATTACGCTGAGCGTAGGTTACAGCCACACTGTTGATATTTTCCCCGATGAAGGATTGATCATGCGGGTGGAAGGCAACAACCGCGTTCACGTCAGCGGCGTTGACAAGCAGAAGGTCGGCCAACTGGCCGCGAAAGTGCGCCGCGTGCGTCCACCCAACCGCTACAAAGAGAAGGGCATCCGGTACCAGGGCGAGGTTTTGCGGCTCAAGCCCGGAAAGGCCGCCGCCAGGCGTGCCGTCTGACCATCTATCAGCCCGGTTCTCATACTACCCACGTTCCAATCCCTCACTAATAAAGAGCTGACAACAAAATGCCACGCGATAAAGATTCAAGAAAACTCCGCGTTGTCCGACATCGCAGAGTCCGTAACAAAGTCAACGGCACGTCTATACGACCCAGGCTTTGCGTATTTCGCAGTTCCAGAGGCATATATGCCCAGGTCATTGATGACGCCCGCGGACACACATTGGCCTACGCGTCAAGCCAGGAGTTGGCGTCTGATGACGCCACACCAAAAACCGCCGCTTCCGTGGCCGTGGGTAAACTGGTGGCCGAACGCGCAGCTGCAGTCGGCGTCACATCGGTCGTGTTCGACCGGGGAGGCTACCGTTATCACGGTCGCGTCAAGGCGTTGGCTGATGCAGCCCGGGAAGGAGGGCTTGAGTTCTGATGGTTTCTGCTGCACCACCCCGCAGGGGAGAAAGGAACGACCGCACTGGCGGTGGAGATCGCCGTGCCGGTGGACGCGGAGGTCGCGGTCGCGACCGTGAGCAACGTCCGCGAGAAGACGACAGCGGCGGTTTTAGTGAACGCGTAGTCCACACCCGCCGAATCTCTAAAGTAGTCAAAGGTGGACGCCGTCTCCGTTTCAACGCCCTCGTAGTGGTCGGCGACGGACAGGGACACGTGGGCGTCGGCATGGGCAAAGCCCTGGCAATTCCTGACGCAGTGCGTAAAGGAACCGCCGTGGCCCGTCGCAGCACTATCACCATACCTATCAAGGGAAGCACGATTCCACACGAAATTTCAGTTCGCAAAGGGGCATCGATCGTCATCATCAAGCCCGCTCCTTTGGGAACCGGTGTCATTGCCGCCGGTGCAATGCGGGCCATGCTCGAGTTGGGCGGCGTGCAGGATGTTGTTGGCAAGTCTTTGGGTTCACGCAATCCCATCAACATCGTCCACGCTACGATGGAAGCCCTGAGCCTCCTGCGTGATCCAGTAGCAACGCGGGCAGCCCGCCTGGCACTGGTTGCTCCGACTACCAACGGTTCGACGGAATCCGTAGCGGTGGAAGCTACTCCGGAGTTGTCCGATGCCCCGGGTCCGGTTCCAACGCCGACTCCGGCGCCGGTCGAGGTTACCGCAACCACTGCCCCGGTTGACGCCACCGCCGCGGAACCAACCGCCCCGGATACGGTGGCCACCGAGAACGTTTCAACGGATTCTGGCGATGCCGATGAACCAGTCGGCTAATTACTCAGAACCCGGTCTGAACCCACTGTAGGGCTGAATTCAAATGGCACAAATAAAAATTACCTGGAAAAAGAGTTGCATCGGTCGTCCGTCCTACCAACGGCGCATCGTGCAATCGCTGGGGCTCAAACGGCTGCACCACTCGGTCATCCACCAAGACAGCCCCACTATACTCGGAATGATTAACAAAGTGCAGCATCTCGTTACGGTCGAACCCGCTGAGGGACAATAGCCGTCCAGATCCGCATGTGGAGATACTTTCAATCATGATGGAACACCAAATTGCCTCGCCCAAAGGCGCCCGCCGCGGGCGGAAGCGCATCGGCCGAGGAGATGCCGCCGGTGGAGGTAGCTACGCCGGGCGGGGCATGAAAGGACAGAAATCTCGGTCCGGACGAGGGCTGCGCCCCGGTTTTGAAGGCGGACAACTCCCGCTCATCAAGGGTCTCCCCATGAAACGCGGTTTCACCAACCGCTACAAGACCCATTATGCGTTGGTGAGCCTTGAAACCTTACAGGAGCGGTTTGAGCCCGGCGACGAAATAACGCCAGAAAAGTTGCATACCCTGGGTATCATCCGGAGAACGCGCCTACCCGTCAAGGTGCTTGGAGACGGCGAGTTGCAGCACAGCCTTAACATTTCGGCCCACAAGTTCACCGCTGCGGCGCGAGCGAAAATCGAAGCCGCCGGCGGCACTGCGGTAGAGCTTTAACCCTCTAATCGGTCTCTGTGGGTAAGGTGCGGTAGGCGATGATTCAATCGGAGGTGCAGGGCGGTGGCCGATGGCCCCGGTTGATGCAGGCGGCAATCGACGCCTTTAGCCTGCCCGACCTACGCACGAAAATCCTGTTTACCCTGGGAATGTTGGCTCTGTACCGGTTGGTAGCCCACATTCCCATACCAGGTTTGGATTCCGTCGCCCTCGAAAACCTGTTTAACAATAACCAGCTGTTGGGATTCCTGGATTTGTTCTCCGGTGGCGCCCTGCGTCGAATGAGCATAGTGGCGCTGGGTGTATTCCCCTACATCACTGCCTCCATCATTATGCAGTTGCTCACGCCGGTCATCCCAACGTTGCAGAACCTGTCTCGAGAAGGTGAAGCCGGCCGAATCAAGATGAACCGCATCACCCATTGGGGTACGGTTCCCATTGCTATCGCGCAGGCATTCGCACAGCTGGTGCTGTTGCAACAGGCCAACGTACTCACCAACGTGGGATTTTCGGGTGATGCCCTCATGCCGACCATTGCGGCCATCCTGTCGATGACCGCCGGTACAATGTTCCTGGTCTGGCTTGGGGAACTCATCACCGAGCGCGGCATCGGGAACGGTATATCGCTGATTATCTTCGCTGGCATCGTGGTCGGTTTCCCGGGTCTGCTTGCCCGAGGGTTCCTGGACCGCGACAATATCCTCGGCGTGTTCTTTTTCGCCCTTATCGGGCTGCTGATCGTAGCCATGATCGTGGTTTTCAATGAGGCGCACCGCCGCATTCCCGTACAGTATGGTCGCAGCATCTTCAGGGGCGGGCAAATGTACCGCCAATCCGGATCGTCATACATACCGCTGCGTATCAACTCTGCCGGTATGATCCCCCTCATATTCGCTTTTTCCATCGTTATCCTGCCCGGCACAGTCGCCCAATACCTGAGCTCGGCTGGCGGGTTCCTCGGCAATCTCGCCGGCAACCTCAACGCGGCCCTGAGTCCCGGTGGCCCGATTTACTGGATTCTGGCCTTTTTCCTCGTGGTTGGTTTTACCTTCTTTTACACTCTGGTGGTTTTCCAGCAGCAAAATATCGCAGAAAATTTGCAACGTAACGGTGGTTTCGTGCTGGGCATTAGACCGGGTCGCCCCACTCAGGATTATCTGAATCGGGTGATCATTCGCCTTACCATGGGCGGCGCGCTGTTCCTGGGATTCATCGCGATTGTGCCCTACCTCGCATCGCTGGTAACCAACGTCGAAGCTATTGCACTCAGCAGCACCAGCCTGCTGATCATGGTAGGCGTGGGTCTGGACACTCTGCGTCAACTGGAAGCGCAATTGATGATGCGTAACTACGAGGGATTCCTGAGATGATAGCCCGCAACCCCAAACTCGTTCTGTTCGGACCGCCGGGCGCCGGTAAGGGAACGCAGGCGCAGTTGCTCAAAGAACAGTTGCATGTCGATCACATCAGTTCCGGCGATCTTTTCCGCCATCATCTCTCGAACGGTACTGAGTTGGGGCAATTGGCCCGTAGTTACATGAACCAGGGAGTCCTGGTTCCAGATAATGTGACCATCGACATGGTGTTAGACCGAATCAGCCAGTTGAGCGAATCCGATGGATTCCTGCTCGACGGTTTCCCTCGCAACGCAAACCAGGCCCACGCCCTAGAAGGGGCTTTGAACACCAACGGCCACAACATCCATCGTGTGGTTCATATCCAGGTAAACGATACCGAGTTGATTCGCCGGCTCAGCAACCGCTACATCTGTCGGGTTTGCCAGCGGCCGTACTCCCGGGACGACGAAACCGGTGCAGCCCCCAACAGTGCGCCGATTGCCCGGATGGAGGAGACATATACCAACGGGACGACGATACTCCTGAAGCGGTAGCGAATCGGATCGCGGTATATCACCAGGAAACAACCCCGGTACTTGATTTTTACCGGGAGCGCGGGTTGCTTTCCGATGTCCCCGGCGAAGGGTCCATCGCCACCGTCAACCAGTTGGTCCTGGATGCCCTGGATGTCCTTACTTCATGATGTGTTTCGTTAAAGCACCGTTTACGGTATAATTATAATGGTGGGAAATACACCTAAACGTAAAACGGCCTCTAACTCGCCATCTACCTATACGGGAGGCGTGACAATCAAGTCACGGCGGGAGATGGAGGCGATGGAAAAGGCCGGCGCCATAGTCGGCGACACGTTGTCCTTGCTCAAGAAATCCGTGGAACCCGGCAATGACAACGGGGGACCTGAACCGTATCGCTGACAAAAACATACGGCGACACGGGGCGGTTCCCACTTTCATCGGTTACCAGGGATTTCCGGCCGCTATTTGCGCCTCGGTAAACGAAGAGATCGTACATGGAATCCCAGGTAAACGCGTTCTGAAGGAAGGCGACATCATCAAAATGGACGTTGGCGCCACCATCGACGGTTTCATCGGAGACGCCGCGATATCCGTGGCGGTGGGTGAAGCCAGCATCGTCGCCCAACAGCTGATGGCAGCGACTGAAGCCAGCCTCTACGCCGGTATAGCAGCGGCACAGCCTGGAAACAGGATAGGAGACATCGGCGCCGCCGTGCAAGGATTCGCAGAGCCCAGGGGATACGGCGTAGTTCGCAGGTTTGTCGGCCACGGTGTCGGACGCTTTTTGCACGAGGACCCCCAGGTTCCCAATTATGGCGAAGCTGGCAAAGGCCAACTGCTGCGGCCCGGCATGTGTATCTGCATCGAACCCATGCTCAACCTGGGCACGCCCGAAGCCATCATTCTGGAAGACGACTGGACAGTTGTAACAGCAGACGGCGAACTGTCCGCCCACTTTGAACATACATTGGCAATAACCGAAAACGGGCCCAAAATCTTAACCGTTCACGACTAACCGACACGGCCGATGGTACTGGCTGGTCCAGGTGCCGCGGCAAAATAAAGCAGGCTTTTTATGGCTAAGAAAGAAGCAATCGAAGTCGAAGCGCAGGTCACCGAAGCCCTCCCCAACGGGATGTTCCGGGTTGAATTGCCCAACGACCACCAGGTATTGGCTCACGTGTCCGGCAAAATCCGGATGCATTTCATCCGTGTGCTGCCCGGCGATCGGGTTTTGGTAGAACTATCACCTTACGACCTGACACGAGGCCGTATCACCTATCGCTTTAAGTAGCGGTCTTTTCAGTGAAATACCATGAAAGTTTCGGCATCTGTAAAACCACGCTGCGACCGTTGTCGGGTAATCAAGCGTAAACGCATAGTGCGCATCATCTGCGTCAACAGCAAACACGTTCAGCGCCAGGGCTAAACCGCCCGGGCAACCCGATCTTCGGATCTACACTATCAGGAGCAAACCCATGGTTCGTATCGCCGGAGTGGACGTACCCGACCGCAAGCGGGCGCATATCGCATTGCGGAGCATTTACGGTATCGGTCCTACCAAAGCAACCGAAATCGTTGGCAAGGCCAACCTCGATATCGACATGCCGCCGCGCATGAACGAGCTTTCAGAAGATCAGCTTGACCGCATTCGGGTAATCGTCGACCAGGATTACATCACCGAGGGAGATCTGCGCCGGGAGCACAACGAGAACATCCGCCGTCTGATCGACATCGGCAGCTATCGTGGCTTGCGCCATCGCAGAAATCTACCCGTGCACGGCCAACGGACTCGCACCAATGCCCGCTCACGCAAGGGCGCCCGTCGCACCGTCGCTGGCCGTGGTCGCCGCACCGGTGGCAAGAAGTAATCATCCCGGCCTCGCCGCCTTAACGATCGGGCCGGTCCGTTCGATTCGTGCCATCGAAATCATCCAAAAGAGGTTACACTTAATGCCCAGACCACGAACCCGCCGCCGAGAACGCAGATCCATCCCTCAGGGACGGGCCTATATCTACTCCACGTTCAACAACACCCTGGTCAGTTTGACCGACCCAGACGGAAACGTGGTCGCTTCCACCAGCTCTGGAACCGCGGGTTTCAAAGGTTCTCGCAAGGGAACCGCCTTCGCCGCTCAAAGAGCAGCAGAGCAGGCGGCGCGGCGCGGCACAGACATGGGAATGCGTAATATTGACGTATACATCAAAGGCCCGGGCGCCGGCCGTGAGCCCGCTATCCGAGCGTTGCAGGGCGCTGGTTTGAATGTAACCAGTATCCGCGATGTAACACCGATCCCTCATAACGGCGTGCGGCCCCCCAAACGCCGGCGCGTATAACCACACCATCCTGCCTGTACACAACCAACCGATTGACTGACAATGGGAAGATATACTGGACCATCCTGCCGCCTGTGCCGCCGCGCTGGGGAAAAGCTATTCCTCAAAGGCGACAGGTGCTTTTCTCCGCGGTGTGCAATAGAACGCCGTCATGTACCGCCCGGAGGGGCCGGCACGCGCCGCCGCCGTGTCTCTGATTACGGCGTCCATCTGCGTGAAAAACAGAAGGCTCGACAAATGTACGGCGTGATGGAAGGACAATTCCGCAAGTACATGTCAGATGCTTTCGACGCTCCGGGAATCTCAGGTAACAACCTGCTTAGAACTTTGGAACGCCGCCTTGACAACATCATCTTCCTCCTGGGATTTGCCGATTCGCGCAAACAAGCCCGCCAGATGGTTCAGCACGGACATTTCGCCGTCAATGGGCGCAAAACCGACATACCTTCTTTCCTGGTTACGCCCGGACAAACCATCGCCTGGACCCAATCGTCCAAGAGACGCGACTTCTTCGCCGACCGTACCGAAGGTTTGCCAAAACGGACCCTCCCTTCCTGGCTCACGCTGGACCTGACGGAAATGGTCGGCCAGATCACCTCGTTACCCGCCGATAACGAGCTGCCCGATACCATTAACTCTCGCCTCATCGTAGAGTACTACTCGAGGTAAGCACCTGCATGCTAACTACCCAATTCCCCCCAATGCGGGAACCTGAACCCGAAACGCCTTCCCCAGCGATCCGGGTTATGGAAAGCACCGACACCTACGCTTCCATCGCCCTGGAACCCCTCGAGCGCGGATTTGCCACTACTGTGGGTAACCCCCTGCGTCGTCTGTTGCTCAGCTCTATACAGGGCACCGCCATCACGTGGGTAAAAATCGACGGGGTCCCCCACGAATACTCCGTAATTCCGGGCGTTAAAGAAGAGGTTATGGACCTCCTGCTTAGCGTCAAGCGGATCCGGATTCATGCAATTACGAAGCGGGCTGGCAAAATGCGCCTGGACATCAACGGCGAAGGCCGTGTATGTGCCGGCGACATTGCCACAGCCAGCGATTACCAGATAATCAACCCCGAACTGCATCTGGCCACACTGGACAATCCCGACGTTTCCCTGTCCATCGAATTCAACGTCGAATCGGGAAAGGGTTATCAGCAGGTATCCCAGGCCGATAACATGGTGGGTTTGCCGGTGGGCGTACTGCCCGTTGACGCCATCTACAACCCCGTCCGCAAGGTCGAATACTCTGTGGAGCGGATGATGGTCGGTCAGCAAACCGACTGGGAGCGGCTTATCCTGCAGGTGTGGACTGACGGCGCCGTGACGCCGCTGGCCGCCATCCAGGAAGCGTCCGAAAATCTGGTTCAGCACTTTTTTATGTTCAACCAGCTCAGCCGCCCGCCCGATTCTCCGCTGGATACTTCCAATCTTCCGGTGGCGTCCGAGGTTTACCTCATGCCTATCGAACGACTGGACCTTTCCTCACGCACCCTCAACTGTCTCAAGCGCGCCAAGCTTCACCGCGTCGGCCAGGTCCTGGACTTAAGCGAAGACGACCTGCTGGGAATCCGTAATTTCGGTCAAAAATCACTGGAAGAACTCCAGGGCAAATTGAACGAACTCGGAGTCGCCGCACCCAGGGTAGTCGGCCTCGCTGGCGAACTGGATTATGAAGGGGACATAGATATCCCCATCGACGGCTCATTGGTTTTCGATCCCGGTGACGGTGACGATGACCCCGACTATGATTTTGAGGACGACGGAGCCTAAAAATGCCATCACACAGAGTAACCGGCAGAAAACTGAGCCGGTACAAAGACCAACGCAAAGCCCTCCTCAGGGGTTTGACCGTCGACCTCATCAGGCATGAACGTATTACCACCACCCTGGCGAAGGCCAAGGAAACCCGAGTAATGGCTGAAAAGCTCATCACGCACGGGAAAAAGGGTACCCTACACAACCGCCGCATCGCTCTCAGCCAAGTCCCTAACAAGGACGCAGTTGAGAAGGTATTCGACGATTTGGGACCCAGGTACGCGGAGCGGCCGGGCGGTTATACACGCATCATCAAACTTGGTCCCCGCCAGGGCGACGGCGCCTCGATGGCCGTGATCGAGTTAGTGTAAAACCAGCTCAGCATTTGTGAGGAATTGCCATAACCAGATTAACGCCTTGACATCCGCTAGTGCCCAACATGGCAATCGCCGCAGGATGGCGTTGGTGGTGGAGTACGACGGCACCGACTATGCCGGCTTTCAGTGGCAATCCAGTGCGCCCACTATCCAGAGCGAGTTGGAAAAGGCCATCGGAAAGCTGACCGGAGAGACCGTACGCGTTGGAGGCGCCAGCCGCACCGACGCGGGAGCCCATTCTCGGGGGCAGGTAGTTCATTTCGATACCACAAGCATTTATGACCCCTCGGTATTCCAATCGGCTTTGAACCACTATTTACCACCTGCTGTTCGAATCCAAACAGTCGCCCAGGTTCCCAACGAGTTCAACGCCCGCCGCAGCGCCGCTCGCCGCTCGTATCGCTACAGTATCTCCAACCGGCCAACGAAATCACCATTACTGCGACGAACGCACCATTGGGTACGCGAACCATTGGATACACGGGCGATCAGGCTGGCTTGCACGAGCCTCCTCGGCATACGCGACTTTCGCCAGATTGTCACCACACATCCGAAAGACCAGAGCGCAGTGCGATGGGTTTACAAGTGGGACATGATCGCCGATACAGCCGATCCGGACGGAGTCTATATCGATTGCGAAGCTAACGGATTTTTGAGGCACCAAATCAGAAAAATCAATGCGGTACTGGTAGAGATTGGCAAGGGACGCCAGCCGATTCATGCCATGGCCGACGCACTAGCCGGACGATTCAGTTCCAACCGACAAATTCCCACCCTTCCCGCTCACGGACTTTGTCTCATGTCCGTTCACTACCCCGAATTCGATCAAATGTTGAAGGTAACTAGCCACCATGAAACGCACTAGCACATATTTCGCCAAGACTGGCGAGCTGCCTGACAACTGGCGGGTCATCGACGCTACCGGGATCAGCCTGGGCAGGCTCGCTCGACAAGTCGCCATCGCACTGTTGGGCAAGGACCGGCCAACGTACACTCCCCATGTCATCAGCGGCGACCATGTGGTTGTTATCAACGCCGATAATCTGCGAGTCACTGGACGTAAACTCACGCAGAAGATGTACTACCGGCACAGTGGTTACGTGGGCAATCTTAAGACATTCATGTTGCGCGACATGATGGCAGAGCACCCGGATCGCGTCGTTCGCCTCGCCGTAAAAGGCATGCTTCCTTCCACTAAACAAGGGCGCCATCTGCTTCGCCGGTTGCGCGTGTACGCCGGAGATCAGCATCCCCACGAAGCCCAGGTAGGCACCGAAACCTAATCTTTGATCGATCAACGACACCTCGACCCCAGGCAGGTAATAAATGGTGGTATCAGCAGAACCCCAACAGCAATACTTCTACGGGACTGGAAAGCGTAAATCGGCCATTGCCAAAGTGCGTCTCTATCCCGATGACGGTACGGCTATCATCGTCAACGGCAAACCCATGGAAGAATATTTCAACTGGCTCCCCTGGCAGTCCAAGGTGAAGGAGCCATTCGTAGTCTCCGAAACGGTAGGACGCTTCCGCGTCATGGCCCAGGTCTCCGGAGGCGGCGTAAACGCTCAGGCCGAGGCTATCCGCCATGGGATCACTCGTGCCCTGGTCGTCTTCGACTCCGAACTCAAGGGTAACCTTCGCAGAGCCGGGTTCATCACCCGCGATTCCAGGGTCAAGGAAAGCAAAAAGTACGGACTGAAACGCGCCCGACGCGCACCACAATACACCAAGCGCTAACACCATTCCGGAGCAAGACGCGTGATTCCAACCCCTCGCTTTTGAGCGGGGGGTTTACTGTTGCTTCACAACAGGTCGCCCAAGGTCAGCCAGTAGAACACGATGTAAGTACCGGCAACAACCATCAGCCAGGCTCCCACGATTCCCACGTAGGGCAAGACCTTTCGCAGCCAACGCACCAGCACGGTGCGGGCTACCGCCATTCCCACGGTCAGCGCCAGGATCACGCTGCCCATCCCCAGGGCGTAGAGTACAAATTGGCTGATGGTGTCCACCCACCCCGATGATAATCCCGCTCCGACTCCCCAACACGGCCAAGAATACCGGCAAGGTACAGCTCAGCGAGGCCAATCCGTAGCTCACCCCAAACAGCACGTATCCGCCCACATTCAATTGGCTCGGATTGCCAACCCGGGAGGCCGCACGCTGTGCCAGGCTCGTGTAGATTTTGCCACCGGCCGCCATGAATGCTCCGGCGCCCACCAACAGCACACCAACCGCCAGGCCAACGTATGGCAAAGCCGATATTACGATCGCCTTCGAACCAAATCCCAAAATAATACCGGCCACTCCGAACAGCAATACGAAGCCCACCGATACCGACACACCAATCATGATCGCCCGCGCTATCAGCAATGCAACCGACACCGACTGAGTTGCCAGTAAACCAACCTTGACCGATCCGGCCACCGTCGAGAATTGGAAACGGTGGTTGTGTTCCTGGTCTCGCCCGCTGACGTACAGGCCCAGATAGGCGGGCAACATGGCGAAACCACAGGGGTTCACGGCGGATACCGCCCCCGCAGCGTAGGCGAATCCCAACTTGAGGCCCAAACCACGAATGCCGGTACCCGCGGATCCCGACAAAGATTCAACGAAGCGGTTGACGCCATCAATACCGGATGCGTTGCGTAACACCAACGCTCCGACTATGGCAATCGCGTAAGCTATGACGGCAACGCCGATCGCGATCGCCACGCTGCGGCTGATCGGTATGCGTTCCCAAAACCCCGCGCGAGGGGCCTCAGAGCTGGGGATATTTGCTTGCGTTGTCATGGACGGCCTCTGATTGCCCCCGAGTATCCTGTCGACGAATCAGGCATCAACACCTGCATGCGTTAATTGTCTTACGCCCGTCTATACGTGCTGGATTGCATGCCCGGATTTCAGAGTATCAATTACGTACCACCACCGTATCGGCCACTCTGTCTGCTAACGATCGGTGCTCCGTTTCATCTATCACAAGGAGTATCGCATCGGCCAAAAACCCGATTGGACCGAATGCGTGGGCCACGTTCTTCACGACTTCTCTTACGAATGTTATTAACCAGCCAGCCGGTTCGCCGTTGCGATGCATCGCGCGGATCCCCAGCAGCTGCTTACCGGGCGTTTGGCCCCGTCTGAGAACGATCAGCCACCAGATAATATAACCAACGATTAGAGTTATAAAGAACAGCACCCCATCGAGTAAGTACGCCATCAACCGGCGTAGCGGCGTCGCTGATTCCATCGTCCTGTCCTCTAGACGCCGAGGTAAGCCTGCATGGCATCAAGCAATCGCTCAACGTTATCAGATGTAGTTGCCTCGCAATAAATCCGCAAGAGGGGTTCGGTACCCGAAAAACGGGCCGCCACCCATCCTACGTCAAGCATCCACCGCCGGCCGTCAATGTCGTCAACTTCACGGATGGGCATCCCCGCCAACTGAGTCAACGTCGCATCGCTGAGTCGCTCGGCGATATCCCCTCGTTGTGCAGCCTCAAAGCCAATATCTCGCCTCAAATAGTGGTGTTCGCCTACCAGGTCGAACAATCGCTCCACCATCCCCGAAGCCGAAAGCCCGGCGGTGGCCATGTATTCCAACAAGTACAACCCGCTGAGGATACCGTCTCGCTCTGGAATATGGCCTCTAAAAGCATAGCCGCCACTTTCCTCGCCACCCAACAATGCGTTGTCGGCGAGGAACCGTGGCCCGATGTTCTTGAAGCCCACCGGTAGCTCAACTATCGGGACGCCGTAGTTGTCGGCCAGCTTGTTCAACATCACGGACGCGGTTACCCCTTTTACCAACCCACCCCGCTCTCCGCGTTCAAGTAGGTACAACGCCAGCAGCGAAAACACCTCCAGCGTACTGACGAACCGCCCGTGTTCATCCACCAAACCAATCCGGTCGGCATCCCCGTCCAGCGCCAATCCCACCGATGCACCCTCGGCGGGCACCCGGCTGCACAGATCACTCAGGTTGTGACCAATCGGTTCAGGCTGCGCCATGCCTGGAAACGCCGGGTTTCGCTCGGGCCTCAATTCGGTGACGCGGCTGGCTCCGCCCTCCAACAGACTTGCAAAGTAACCCGCTCCGGCTCCGTGCATGGAATCCGCCATGATGTGCAGGCCGGCGGACCGGATAGCTTCCAGGTTGATCAATCCGGCGACCGAATCCCGGTACGCCGGCGTTGGGTCCACGTCTACCACCAAACCACTTGACCGTGCCTGAAGCATGGACAGCATTTTCGGCGAACCCGCCGAGTCGATGCACAGTTCCAGGATGTCGGTAACTTCCTGGCTGGCGCTGCCCCCCAGCTCGGACTTTAACTTGAAACCGTTCCAGTTTCCCGGATTGTGGCTGGCCGTGATTACCACGCCGCCGGCGGCTTGGCGGTACACAACATGGTGGCTAACTACCGGAGTCGGAGTCGGATTCTGGCACAAATAGACGGATATGCCGTTCCCGGCCATCACCGATGCAACAGTCTCAGCGAACTCCCGGGACGCGAAACGCGTATCGTATCCGATAACCAACCCGGCGCCCGCCGTGTTCTGAATACGCAGGTAATCGGCAAGACCTTGAGCGCATCGGGCGACATTGACGAAGGTAAAATCGTCGGCAATGATTCCCCGCCAACCGTCCGTACCAAACTTAATGCTAGCAGCCATGGGCTAATTCTATCACCGCAGGTTGGCGACCCAAAGAAAATCCCCCTCCTATTGGAGAGGGATTGAGACATTACCGCGTATTCGCGCTCCTGGGCGCGCTAATCGCCCGTCGTGGCGGCGAATGCTCCAGCAGCCTGTTTGAGGGCCTCGGCTTTGTCGGTCTGTTCCCAGGGCAAGTCCAGGTCTTTGCGACCAAAGTGTCCGTATGCAGCGGTCTTGCCATATATGGGGCGACGCAGGTTCAGGTCTTCGATAATGGCGCCGGGACGCAGGTCAAAATGTTCCGTTACCAGTTGCTCGATGCGCTCGTTGGGCAGGTTGTTAGTATCAAACGTCTCCACCGACACGGAAATCGGCTCGGCCACGCCGATGGCGTAGGACACGATTATTTCCACCCGGTCGGCGAGACCGGCGGCAACCAGATTCTTGGCTACGTATCGAGCCGCGTAGGCGCCCGACCGATCGACTTTGGTGGGGTCCTTACCCGAAAACGCGCCACCACCGTGGCGGGCTATCCCGCCATAGGTATCCACCAGGATTTTCCGTCCGGTCAGGCCGGTATCCCCCTGGGGGCCACCGACGACGAACCAACCGCTGGGGTTGACGTAATACTTGGTCTCGTCGTCCAGCAGATGAGCCGGCACCACGGGTATGATTACGTTCTCGATAATGTCCCGGCGAATCTTTTCCTGAAAGGCCGCTCGGTCTGGCTGGTCTTCGTGGTGTGTGCTGATCACAACAGCATCCACCCGGTGAGGCTTACCGAAACGATATTCCACCGTTACCTGCGATTTTCCGTCCGGGCCCAGGTAAGGAAGCGTGCCGTTCTTACGGACCGCCGCCAGTCGTTCCACCAGGCGATGGGAGAGGTCAACCGTCAAAGGCATCAGGCCGTCAGTCTCGTTGCAGGCGAATCCCACCATCATGCCTTGGTCGCCAGCGCCGGTGGCCCGACGAGCATCGGCAGCGCCGTCTCCCCGGTGCTCCAGCGAAGTCGTCACTCCACTGCTGATGTCTGGAGATTGCTGACTCACGTGGGCCACCACGCCACAAGAATTACCGTCTATCCCATATTTAACGTCGGTATATCCGATTTCCAACATCACCCGGCGGGCAATATCATTAAAGTCGAGATCTGATGCGGTGGTAATTTCGCCGGTAATCATCACCAGGTTCTTGGTGGCAACCGTTTCGCAGGCAACCCGGCTTCCCGCGTCGCCAGCAAGGGCGGCGTCCAGTACAGCGTCCGAAATCTGGTCGCAGAGCTTGTCTGGGTGCCCTTCAGTTACCGACTCAGAGGTGAGAAGGTATTTGGGCGAAGTCATAAACTGTATTGGCATAGGTCATTTCCTCCCTGATCCAATCTTTGGTCAACTGAGATATGTGCAGCGGCTACGTGCCCTCTTCCCAGCTTTCGTTGTAGGCAGTTTGTTCCGCACTCAGTGTGTCAATGCGAATCCCCATCGTCTCCAGCTTGAGACGGCCTACCTCTGCGTCAATCTCCCTGGGCACGACATGAACCCCTGAGGCGAGATTGGAATGGTTTTTGACCAGATATTCGCAGCTCAGCGCCTGATTGGCGAAGCTCATATCCATCACCGCCGAGGGGTGACCCTCTGCAGCGGCCAGGTTAATCAGCCGGCCTTCTCCCAACAGGTGGATTCGCCTGCCGTCGGCAGTAACGAATTCCTCTACGAATGGCCGAACTTCCCGGCGGCTCACCGAGGCGGCCACCAACGCCGGAATGTCGATTTCAACGTTGAAGTGCCCGCTGTTGGCGACGATCGCGCCGTCCCGCATTACCGCAAAATGATCAGCGCTGATAACGTGCCAACCACCCGTTACCGTGATGAAAACCTCACCCTGTTGGGCCGCTTCAATACCGGTCATTACCTGGAATCCATCCATGACTGCTTCCAGCGCCCGGACCGGGTTCACTTCGGTGACGATTACCTGTGCGCCGAGCCCTCTGGCTCGCGATGCAACGCCCCGGCCGCACCAGCCGTACCCGCCGACCACCACTCGACGGCCCGCCCACAGGATGTTGGTGGCTCGAGTAATGCCGTCCAGCGTGCTTTGGCCCGTGCCATAGCGGTTGTCAAAAAAGTGCTTCGTCTCGGCCTCATTGACCGCAATGATGGGATATTTTAGTTTCCCATCCGCAGCCATGGCGGTGAGGCGCACCACTCCGGTGGTGGTCTCTTCAGTACCGGCCAGCACATGGGACAGAAGGTCGCTGCGTTCCCGGTGCAAAATACCCACCAGGTCAGCTCCATCATCCATAGTAACCATGGGAGCATGATCTAAGGCGGCGTTAATATGCCGGTAGTAAGTGTCGTTATCTTCGCCTTTGATGGCGTAGGTAGGAATACCATATTCCTGCACCAGCGCTGCGGCGGCTTCGTCTTGTGTGCTCAACGGGTTGCTGGCACAAATCACCAGGTCGGCGCCACCCTCTTTCAATGCGATAGCCAGGTTGGCGGTCTCGGTTGTTACGTGCAGGCAGGCCGCCATGCGTATCCCTTCAAAGGGTTTTTCCCGACTGAATCGTTCTGCGATTCGATTAACAACCGGCATCTCGCGGCCAGCCCACTTAATGCGGTCAACGCCAGCGGAAGCCAGCGATAAGTCTTTTACATCGCCTTTCGTTTTCTGTTCAAGCAAATTTCTTTACCTCTTCTGTTCTACCGAGTTTCGATCGAGTTTTGGAATTAATGGGGTTAGGGTTCATTGCCGTACGACGTGGGATTACCGGCTCCGATCCACGATGGCGTACCATCTTCAATGTTGTAGAGCATTTCGGAGTCGTAGCCCATTGCGGCCGCCAGCTCACAGGCCAGGCCGCTGCGCACCCCAGCCGCGCAGATGAACAAAATGGCCTTGTCTTCGGGAACCTCGTCCATCCTGCCGGGGAGATCGTCCACCGGTATGTGGACGGCGCCGGTGGCGTGTCCCGTAACCCACTCGTCGTCCCGCCGCACGTCTATGACAATTGTGCCTTCTGGGTTTGTTTCCACCATTTGGCGCGCCTCTACGGAATCCACCCGAGAGTAGGGTTCCCCGGGCATCTGTCGTGGCATGTTGGTTACCTCCTTGGTGATTCGCGAGTAATGCTCGCAAGTTTCGATAAGTTGTGGTTAACGCAGGTTCAGATACTTGCCGGCAATGGGTTCCAGGCGCCGGCGTGCCTCGTCGGATATATGGTATTTGTCAGTAATGATGGCGTTGGCCAATGCAGTTTGGCAGTCGCACGGGCCGAGTTGCGCCAGGGCCGGCACGATTTGGCGGAGAATAATCCGGCTATTGGCGATGTTGGCAATCAGGTTTTCCACTACCATGTCCACTGTCACCGCGGCGTGGTCTGGATGCCAGCAGTCATAGTCGGTCACCCAGGCCATGGTTCCGTAGCACATTTCTGCTTCGCGGGCCAACTTGGCTTCTGGCAACGCGGTCATTCCGATCAGGTCGCCGCCCCAGGACCGGTACATTTCGGATTCAGCCCTGGTTGAAAACGCCGGACCTTCCATCACCACCAGCGTCGCACCCTCATGGGTAGGAATGCCCTGCCCATCCCCACCCGCCGCGATGGCGTTGCTCACGGCCGGACAGAAAGGATCTGCAAACGTAATGTGAGCCACCACGCCGCCCTCGAAAAAGGTGCTGTCGCGAAAACGGGTACGATCGATGAGTTGATCGGGCACCACCAGGTGTTGCGGTTGAAACAAGTCGCACCCGACGAGACCACAGAAACATCGCCGCTACCAACTGCGCTCACTGACACTATCTGTTTTACGCCCAGCGTTTTCAACGCATAGATATTGGCCCTGAAAGGCAGTTCGGTTGGACTCACCCGATGACCTCTTCCGTGGCGAGGCAGGAATGCTACCGGCACGTCCAACAACTCACCCACGGTTATGACGTCGCTGGGCTTGCCATACGGCGTGTCGATGTCAACCACGGCGGATTCACTAAACCCCTGGATCTCATAGAGACCGCTGCCACCGATGATTGCTATTTCGGCCTGTGGGTGATTGGGCATTGAGCGTTGTTTCCCTTTGGGTGAGTTCCTTTTGGGCGAGTTCCGTGTCTAGACGATTACCAGCCAGCCGCTCCACAATCCAATCCAAACAAGGATGCCGACGACGACAACCAGGATTTCGCCTTTGCCTATCCTGGCTCGTGACTCGAACCCATCGCCCACTGCAGCCCAGTAACGATTGATTCTCGATTGAACCAAGCATGTAATGACGATAGCGACTACAAACCCGACCCACGAACCCGCAGTGAGTATCCAGTCAGTGACGGTGAAGAACGTATCCCAGCTGGCAGACTCTAAGCGTCCCTCGAACGACGTGTTCGCCTGCGCGACCACCCAAATAGCCCCGTAGATGAGCGCAAGGAACACTGGATTGGGTATCCGCGGTACGTCTCGCCGTTCCAAAAGTTGATTGTAAGCGTGTAGGTGGTGGTGAAACCGAAAGAGTCCGTATATCGGCACCAACTGGGTCAACCCGTGCCACACTGGATAGACTTCAACCCCGGTGTAATCACGATAAGCCTTCCAGTTGCGATACAGCCAATAAACATGAAAGAAAATACCGACGCCGAGGATGGACAACACTATCATGCGCCAAATAGCTAAATGATTGCCGCTCAGCAGCCGAGCTTCTGGGCTTTCGGAGTACATCTCGGTTTGTAGTGTGACCATTATGATAATTCCCCCATCACGGCGGATTCGGTAAACCCCTGGACCTCATAAAGACCGCTGCCGCCGATGATTGCTATTTCTGCCTGGGGGTGATTGGGCATTGAGGGTTGTTTCCTTACGGGTGCGTTTCCTGAACGCGTGTTCTTGCCAGGTGGTGGTTCAGCTCAGTTGGCGGATGTCCTCGGGTAGGTAGTGGGTAGCGCGAAACACGCTGTTCACCACCTGACCCTGTTCGTTGGCGCCGAAGTGCGGATTCACGTACTCCCACACCACGTCCCCTTCCGGCGTCACCTGGAAGATGCGCCCGAATTGTCCTTCAGTAATCAGCGTATTCCCGTTGGGCAGCCGTCTCGCTCCCGAAATGTAGGCGCTGAAGAAATTGAAGGGCGGGTTGTCCTGGTATCGCCACACAATCTCATTGGTTTGAGGGTCTACCTCGATAACACGAGAATGGGGCAACGGGTTCGATTGGCTGTGCGAGCCGTTGTCGTAAACGAGAACGTTCCCGTTGTCTAATAGCGACGGATCGTGCTGTTGGGCGAGTGTGTCATGCCCAACCTTCCACACGATCTCATCTGAATCCTGATCGATTATTCCCACCGTGGAAATGTTACGGAAACTGAACATCACCCGGCGTCCCGGCAGCGGTACCACCGTGTTTCCATGACTCCATTCTTCCCTGGAATCATTGAAGGTGATTATGTCGGTGGTTGCATCAAGGTGCTGGGCCGCATGCCATTCCCAAACGCGGTTGCCGTCGGCGTCCACCTCAACCAGCACATCGCACCACATTCCGTCAGCGTCGGTGCCGACTCGGCCTCCCTGCACTTCGGCCGCATGTTGATTCGACATACGCTCGACGGTCATATACAGGCATCCGCCCGAATCAGTGCGCCGGGCATCATGATGGTGGTATTCGTCCCGGTGTTCCCAAAGAATATTCCCGTTCCAATCAGCTTCGAGCATGACGCCACCCTTGAACCGTTTGAACCCGCTAAATATTTCCCAGGTTGCGTCATCCGCCACCTTACCGCCGTAGAACAGGTTACCGTTCGGTAACAGATAGCCATAGAGACCGGGCGGATAAGGCATATTCCATGTATGGACGACCTCCCCATCTGGCCCCAGCAAAATCACTTCTCCGCCGCCGGTCATTGGCGCGAAAAGCGTGTAGCCGTGACAGGCCCGCTCCGGATCGTAGGCAGTGAGTCCGGTGCGCGCGATGCGCCGCCGGGTCTGGTTGTCTATCTGCGTTGCAGACATTCAGACTATGCCGCGTCCACGGCGCGACGAAGAGAATCGTCAAAAGGTGGGCGGCAAACCGCTGCTTCCGTGACTATCGCGGTAATGTATCGATTGGGTGTTACATCAAACGCCGGGTTATAAGCAACGGTCCCTGATGGCGCTACAGGCATCCCGCCGTAGGCGGTAACCTCGTGCTGCGGTCGCTCTTCTATCTTGATGCCGGAACCGTCTGTAACCGACAAATCTACGGTACTGGTGGGCGCTGCAATATAAAACGGGATGCCGTTTTCATGAGCCAAAACCGACAGGGCATAGGTGCCGATTTTATTTGCGGTGTCGCCGTTGGCGGCGATCCGGTCCGCGCCGGTTATTACGCACGATATGTCACCGTTCAACATCATCATCCCGGCAGCGGAATCAGCGATGAGCGTCGCTGGTATACCCAACTGCTGAAACTCCCATGATGTGAGACGCGCTCCCTGCAACCAGGGTCGCGTCTCGGTGTTGTAAACTCGAAATCTGCCGCCCTTTTCCCATCCGGCTCGAATCACTCCCAAAGCAGTGCCAAAAGCCGAGGTCGCCAGCGCTCCGGTATTGCAGTGCGTCAACACGCCCTCGCCATCCTGCGGCATCAGCACGCGGCCATGTTCTCCGATACGCCGATTGATTTCTTCATCTTCGGCCTGGATTCGCCGCGCCTCCGCTTCCAGTTTAGGCAGAATGCTGCCCGGATCGGGTTCGGCTTCAGCAACGCGCAACATGCGTCGTACCGCCCAGCCCAGATTGACGGCCGTTGGCCGCGCGGCAGCAATTTGTGACCCTGCCTGACGTAACGAACCAATGTAGTGATCGCGTTCTCGCGACTGCAATTCTGCCGCCGCCAGTACCATCGCATACGCGGCGGTAACACCGATGGCCGGAGCGCCGCGTACGCGCATATCGGTTATGGCAGCAGCAGCCACGCGATAATCGCTGATGTTGACGGTTACCTGTTCGTGAGGTAGCCGGGTTTGGTCCAGCAATTCCAAACGGCTGCCCGTCCAATTTATCGGACGAATTTCTTTCATAGCCACAGTTACGCCAGTTGCGGTAGTCTGCAGCCTGTCGGTTCGACGATACCCATCGCCGCGACAGGCAAAAATATAGGCCCACCCGCATAGGGAGAGCCGAGCGAGACAATACTCCCCTCATCTTTCGCCGATCTGCGGCGAGCGTCTCGCAACGCCCAGCAGCGACGCCGGATTTAGCACCTGATCCCGCTAGGGATGCGGGATTGGTTGCCAGGCTTCACAGGGCCGGTCCCTCCGCCTCTCTGGATAAGGGTTCCAGAAGTATTTACGATTGTTAACGAAATCTATGCTACCGGTGGGGGAACAATATGTCAAGCACGGGGAGGTTTCGGCCTTGCCCGCCGCCCCGTTTCTAACGCACGGAATCTGGTCCCAATAACCATTGTGCAGTGTTTGACACTGATCCCGGCCGGTTGGATAATGCGGACAACCCGGTCGACGATTTTCCGTAGATTGCGTTCGGTTTCCTCCCGGTGAACGTTCATGTCGATCCCCAGCCAATCTCCCTTTTTACCACTTCCCGCCGGCGACACCGGTCTTTTTACAGACCTCTACGAGCTGACCATGGGTCAATCGTACTTTTCCGAGGGCATGGCGCATGAAGCCACGTTCAGCCTCTATATGCGCGATTATCCGCCGGACCGGGGCTACATGGTCGCAGCGGGTATCGACGACACTCTTGACTGCCTGAACGCCCTTGCGTTCGATCCGACCAACATCGATTATCTTCGCACCACCGGGATTTTCACTGGCGATTTCCTGGAGTTCCTGGCGGCGACCCGCTTCACTGGCAGCGTCCGAGCCGTCCCAGAAGGCAGCGTCGTATTCGCCGATGCACCGATAATGGAAATCTCCGCTCCCATTATCGAAGCCCAGTTAGTCGAAACCATTGTGATCAATCAAATCCAGTACCAAACCTTGCTTGCCACCAAGTCAGCCCGATGTGTCCTGGCTGCCCAGGGACGAGCGATCGCCGATTTCGCTTCGCGGCGTACCCACGGCACAGAAGCCGCCCTTGCAATGGCGCGCGCCTCTTACATTGCGGGCTTCGCCGCCACCAGCAACGTATTGGCTGCGCGTCGCTACGAAATTCCTCCGGCCGGCACCATGGCACACTCTTACATAACCGGATTCTCCAGCGAGATCGAAGCCTTTCGCGCCTATGCCAGAATGTTCCCGGCACGTAGCATCTTCCTGCTGGACACCTACGACACCATTAGCGGCGCCCGCAACGCGGCCCTGGTTGCCGGGGAAATGGAAGACGCCGGCCATCGACTGACCGCCGTCCGCCTGGACTCGGGAGATCTGGATCACCTGAGCCGCCAGGTACGTTCCATACTGGACGAAGCCAACCTCGGCTACGTCCGTATCCTGGCCAGCGGTGGTCTCGATGAGTACGAAATCGAGCGCCTGGTGAACAACGGAGCGCCCATCGATATGTTCGGGGTGGGAACCCGCGTGGGCGTCTCGGGTGACGCTCCCTGGTGTGATATGGTCTACAAAATGGTGTGTTACGACGACCGGCCGGTAATGAAATTGAGCGGTGGGAAGGAGTCGATGCCGGGATCCAAGCAGATATTCCGACATTTCGACTCATCGGGATTGATGACCGGCGACGTAATAGCGTTGGCTTACGAAAACATCGCGCCGGGCCGACCCTTGCTGGCCGAGGCAATGACAAACGGCCAACGCATTTCACCTCGGGAAAACCTGGCCGTCGTACGGCAGCGTGTCGCCGAGGGCGCGGCAGGCCTCAGCCCTCCCTATCAGCGACTCAGGGAACCAGCCCGCTACCCAGTGGAATTCAGCTCCACGATTCAGGAGTTGACACAACATACACGAGAACAACTCGTCGCCAGCATTAATACCTGAGCCTGCCACCGAGTGAACGCCTGTCCGGTGCCTCCGGGTCACCGGCCATAAACCGATTTCTGCTCACAAGGAGCTTTTCCGGATGAAATTCGCGGTCTGCGTCAAATATGTCCCCGTCGTTTCCAGAATTCAGTTCGATTACGAGAATAAGGTAATCCAGCGCGAGGGCGTGCCATCAGAAATAAACCCCTTCGATCTGCTGGGTCTCAACCTCGCCATCGACTTGAAATCCGATCCCGGTGATTCGGTAGTGGCCCTGTCCATGGGCCCACCAAACGCGGCTGAGGGACTTACCCAGTGCCACGCCCTGGGGGCCGACCGGGCGATTCTACTGTCCGACCGGGCGCTGGCCGGCAGCGATACGCTGGCAACGGCCCAGGCTCTAGCTCTGGCCTTGCAGCGCGAAGAACCCGATCTTGTCATCTGCGGGCGCAACAGCAGCGACGCCGAAACTGGTCAGGTCGGCCCCGAGGTCGCAGAACTCATGGGGATGCCTCACATCAGCAATGTCCGGCATCTCGAGATCGACCGATCTGGCCACAGCATCACCTGCGAAAGGGCCACCGACCAAGGTTACCAGGTATTGCGCTGCTCCCTGCCCGCCGTCGTATGCGTAACCGAAGGCGCCGGTCAGGAGCGATATCCCGGACGCGAGGAAATGGAAGTCGCCGAGACCAAAACGGTGGAGCAACTAACCTGTGCCGACTTGACGGATGACCTGTCGTTGTTCGGATTGGACGGGTCACCCACCTGGGTTGAAGACATTCGTCTGGTTGAACCAGATCGCCTGGGCGTGATAATCCGCGATGAAACGCCCGACAATGCTGCTCGCCAGGTAGCAGAAATGCTCCGCGAACGCCTGGCCGCGCTGGATCAGGCGGAAGACTCAACTGGATCAACGGCGCCCGCTCCCGGCCGGTACACCGGGACCCAACGCAGTATCTGGGTAGTCGTGGAAATGGTCGGCCCGGACGTGCGTCACGCTACGCTGGAAATGCTCGGCAAAGCGCGCGCCCTTGCTCCCATAACACAGAGTGAGATCGTGGCCGTATTCATCGGATCCGGACCGCCGGACGGAGCAACCGTTACCCAGTTGGCTTCCGCGGGCGCCGACCGAATTTTGACCCTGAATACAGATGGTCTGGGTGTAATTTGCGGGCGCAGCGTCGCAGAGAGTCTATCTGCCGCCATCGTCGCCAACCCACCCTACGCAGTGCTCTTTTGTGCCACCGCCGATGGACGCGACCTGGCTGCCCGCATTGCCGGCCGGCAACGTTTGGGACTGACCGGTGACGCCATAGACCTGGAAATCAACGACGCCGGCCAACTGGTCCAACTCAAACCGGCCCTCGGCGGCAACGTCGTTGCTCCCATTCTTTCCAAAACGTTACCCAACCTCGTAACGCTCCGGCCCGGCGTCCTGACCCCCGCTGACCCGGATGCTGATTACACCCCGACAGTTACCGCCATAGATCCAGCGCCTTGCGACGGACCGGACGTCATCCTGTTGAGCGAGCATACGTCAGAAGAACATGGAGCCCTCGAGCTAACATCCGCGGAAGTCGTGATCGGCGTCGGCATGGGCGTGGGCGAAGAAGGTTTGGCCGAAGCCCAACGCCTGGCTGCCACCATCGGCGCCTCCATCGCAACCACTCGAAACGTCGTACATTCCGGATGGCTGCCTCATCACGTTCAGGTCGGCATCAGCGGTCGCGCGATAGCGCCCAGGGTATACCTGGCCGTGGGAATTCGCGGCGCCTTCAACCACACGGTGGGAATTCAAAAAGCCGGGGTCATCCTGGCGATTAACCGGAATCATCGTGCTGCCATCTTTAGGGCCGCCGATTACGGTATCGTTGGCGACTGGAATGAGTACCTGCCCGCACTGATCGGAGCCATCGAACCGGTGCTCGCCGAGTCCAATCTGGCCTGAAATCTATCGCTGTACAAACATGATCCTCATCGCCGGAGTTCCCCGTCATGACCGGCGATTCTTACGCAGCGCCTGAACTATCTCTACTGGTACCTGCCGCCACCTCCCCCACGCTACCGACGATCCTGGCCCTTGCCGGAATGCTCGGGCGATCCGGTGAAGACGTCCTCGGCCTGCCCTGGTAACCGGATTCGAGGTGCAGGGGGACGTATCCGAGCGGCCTCAACACCGGCGCCTTGACCAAATCCACTCACTGAGGCAAGGGCTGGAGCATCGGCCCGGAGTCCGCGCCGCTGGCTGAAATGAGGTTCACTGGCAATACCAACATCTTCGAACGCCCCAGCCAGTACGGCTCCCACCGGGGCATCGACGCCGCGCTGGACCTGTGAGCCAACCACAACTTCGACCCGTCTCAAATATCAGCCATCCGCATAGAAACACCAAGCAATGACACCAACCAGGCTAACCGTTATAATTGGACGCCAGTAAAGTACCGCACACCCTACCCGTGAGGCAGCGCCGCCATGGAATTTGCATTCACTACCGAACAGGAAGCCCTACGCTCCGATGTGCAGCAATTCATTGCTGAAAATGTGACTGACGATATCGTAGCCGAGTTGGAGGGTACCGGAATTCGCCGACGGGGCCCGAAAGACCAGGGAGATGTACCAAAAAATCACCGAGCAGGGCTGGATCGGCATTTCCTGGCCCGTAGAATACGGCGGGCAGGGCGGCAGTCGAATCGACCAATACATCGTGGAAGAGGAGTTTGCTCGCATTGGCATCACCGTTGGCGGAGCCGGATCCGGCGCGCCGGCGATACTCGCAGCGGGCACCGAAGAGCAGAAGCAGGAGTTCATCCCCGGTGTAATTCGTGGCGAAATTTCATTTGCTCTGGGATTTACCGAGCCCCAAGCGGGCGCCGACCTCGCCGGTCTCCAGTGCCGCGCCGTCCGCGATGGCGACGATTACGTTATCAACGGCCAGAAGATGTACACAACGGCCGCACACTACGCAACTCACATCTACCTGATGGCGCGCACCGACCCTGACGCCCCGCGCCACCGCGGAATCAGCATATTCCTCATACCCATGGACACGCCCGGAATCACCGTCCGCCCGTTGTGGACCATCCAGAACAATCCTCCAGCGCCCCTGGGAACAACTTACGGCGACGCTCGCACCAACGAAACCTTCTTCGAAAACGTTCGGGTGCCAGCTTCGTGCATGTTGGGAGAGGAAAACCAGGGCTGGTACGTCGGCGCAATGGGACTCAACCTCGACCGCGTCGGCGCATCTCGTTACTTGATCTCCATCCAGCGCGATGAGGACATCGTCAACTGGGTAAAGGAAAACGACATCGAGGGGCTACGGCATGCGCGACGACCCCACCACCCGCGACCGACTCGCAGATATGTGGATCGAAGGGCAGGTGTGTCGGCTGATGACCCTGCGTAGCATGTCCATCGTCGAATCCGATGGCAACTTCACCTACGAAGGATCGGCTGAGAAGGTCTTTGCTCCCGAACACGGTGTTCGGACAACAGAAACCATCGCCCAAATGCTGGGTCCCTACGGCCAGTTGCTCAACGGCTCCGAGGATTCCGTGGAAGACGGCATTTTTGCTCACAACCTGATGGGCGCTTTCCAGAGCGGCATCAACCACGGCAGCGTCCAGGTCATGCGAGACCAGGTTGCCCGCCGGGGACTGGGCATGCCCCGCGTTTAATCATCGTTGATCGGTACCAAGAGTTGCAGCATGTCGGCACGAACTTCAAAACCAAACCGCCCAGGCTGACGACGCATATTTTCAGGCTTCCTGTTTTCGTTGCCAAAACCGTTGCCAGGCGGAGATAACGCTGTGTGCGCAACACTCCGCCGAACCCATACCTACTGAGGCACAATGAACGTACTCCCCACCGAAGAAGAACTAATGGTGAAAAACGCCGCCCGCGAGTTTCTGGACGGAGAATGCCCGCCCAGCCTCGCTCGCGCGGTGGAGCAGGATGAGCGCGGTTACTCGGTTGAGCTATGGGAGAAGATGGCCGCTCTCGGTTGGTTCGGCATCTCCCTTCCCGAAGCCTACGGGGGAGGCGGCCTTCCGGTAACGTACCTGGGGCTCATCATAGAAGAGTGCGGCCGGGCCAATGCTCCGGTACCCATGCATTCCACTTCCACCGCTGCGCTGGCGGTGGCCAAATTCGGCTCCCCACAACAACAGGAATCGTTCCTGCCTCGGGTGGCGCGCGGCGAATTGATAATGACCTGGGCTGTCCAGGAACAGGACCCACGCCTTCGTGCCGATGCCATGCAATGCCGTGGCGAGGTGGACGGCGACAGTCTGGTGATCAATGGAATAAAGCACTTCGTTGACAACTTTTCAGCGGCAGAACTGATGGTCGTCGCAGTTCGCACTGCGCCTGCCAGTGATACCAACGCCGGGATAACACTTGCCATCGTGCCCATGACGCGCCAGGCATTCAGGAACACGGCTACCACACTGGCCAAAGGACTCTCAAAGCAAACTTGAACCTCGAAGGCGTGCGAATCCCCCTCTCAACATATCGGCCGAGAGGATAAACCAGGGATGGCGCTCACAACAGGAATGCTGGAATTGCAGCACTGCCCCCTACTGTGCGCCCAGATCCGTTGGGTGCAGGCCCGAACCGCGGATGACGGAAAATGGACCAGTCGAGTGACGCACAAGAACCGCGTTGAGTTTGGGAACGACCTTTCCCTCTCGCCGGGGTTCCGTCCATCCAGCACCTTTGCGCCGATATGGTGGTCTGGTGCGACGGCGCCAGTGTGGACCTACGAGGCGCTTTGGAAGCTGGACCAGGGACTTCCTTACCGCCGGAGGTGTGGTGTCCAGGTTTTTCCCAAAGCGTCACCAATGCAATGCCCGGGCTGGTTCGTTCCTCCCAGCAAATTCAACGGCTCGGCATTGGTTTTATGATGGCGTTAGACTGCATCTCTGGTACCGGCGCGTTACCGGCCACTGGACCATTCTTGGGTACCAGTTTGAAGCACAGTCGATCTTGTGGGCCGGGCCCTGCTGGAACAGCGACTGCAGGTGCTTGTGCGCTGGCATGAATGGACCCGTTGCCTGAATTATCCTGTTATAATTTACGCCAGACCGACCAGGAGTTATCCTGCCCGTTGATCCGTTTGCAAGTCCGAAATCACGAAAGGATAACGCCCGCGCCACGACCGGTCAGACAATGACTGCTCCATTGAAGTCGATCCTACCGCCGTCACCGCGTTTCCACAACGGTGAGTGGTTATATTCTCAGTCTGAGTGCCTCACTAAGTTTCTGGCGGCGCCAAACACCTACATCGATGGTTAGTTTCAGCGCAGCACAGCGGTTGTTGCATCGGCGGCGCCGCCGGGATTATTAATATTATGCACGTGTGGTTGTCGTTGAGGTGGATGTGTTATCTCTAAGGTCGCACCAGGACGAGGCATTCGCCGAAGCCTTTTACCGTCGCCAAATTGGCTGACGAATGCGGTATCGAGGGTTCTGGTTGCTGAACGGGCATTTTCTCGGCTCCTCGTAATCCTACCGATCGGTGGTGGCGCGGGATTTCAATCCGTTTTTCCGTTGCCGTTGCTCATTGCAGGCATCATCGCCTTCGCACGAACGCGTCCGTGTGGGAACGGGTGTTAGTGTCCTGCCTCTGGCACTCCCCATTTCTGGCTGAAGAGCAGGCGAACATCAGCGGGAGGGGAAGGAAATGAAGAGTAGGAAAGCGAAGCGAAGACGGAGAGGGATAAAGGTTGATTTGGACAGGGAAGAAAGGAAGTAAGCGAGGGGTGTGGAGGGGAGCGAGAGGGACAACAAGCAGCACGGCGACGGACAAGACAAGCACACGAGGACTTCGTGGACAAAGGCGAGAGACGAGATTAGGCGAGGGGAGAAGGAAAGTGGACTTAAAAAGCCGGGAAAACGGATAGAGAGACGAAAGGGGAAGGAAGCAGGAGGGGGAAAAGACTGAATGGATGACAAGCTATGAACGGGAAGAGGGGAGCAGGGAGGGGAGGGGGGGAGAAGGGGGGCGGGGCACGATCCGGCGGTGGGGCAGGAAGTGAAGATAGAGGAAGGAGGAAATAAGAAGGGGGAGATAGGGGACGGAGGGGCAAGGTGTAGAGGAAATGAGATGAATGAGGGGGAGGGGAGGGATGAAGGAAGGGATGGAATGGAAAGTGGACGGAAAGCCAAGCTGATGATTGATGAAGGGATAAAAAGCGAAGTAAGAAGCCGAACTAGGGACATAGAAAGGGGTGGGAAAGAGGAAGCGAGCAGAAAGGGAGCAAGGCAGATGGTAAGGGAGCACGACAGAAAAGGATGAAACGGAGGGGGGAGAAAAGCGAGACGAACGTGTGGGAGAATAATGTGAAGAAGGACGAGAGAAGAGCAAGCGGAAGAAGGAGGGAAGAGGGAGAGAGGGGGGACAACATAAGCGGGGAAAGAAGAGGAGCAGAAGCGCCTACGCGCTGGAAAATCTACCGCGGGCCGCCTCTGATTTCGAGCATGTCGGGCGGTAGCAGTTTCCACGGTCATATTCTTGGCTATGGGTAGTGCCCGTTTGACGAGGAGTCGCCAGCGAGTCTCCGAAGCCCTGGACATCATACTCATAGGCTTGGAACAATACTCGTTTTTCCACCACGGGCCACTACTACAGACATGGATGACGTGGTGGTGGTTCACTCCGACGTCCCTACCAGCAACCCCACCGCCAATTCGCATTGCCGCCAACTCGGTTGCACACATTACAGCATCGTCGGATGGAATTGGGCTGTCCGCTGGTACCGGTGTCCGCGGTCAGGGAGATCGCTCATGGCACGCGCGAAACCTGGAACTGTATACCGGCGCGCCACACGGCCAAAACCAATGGGCAGGACTGGACGGACGTTTATGTCGGCTGCCAATCTACGTGTCAGATCCATGGAGCAGGTCGGGCAGCACACACGAAGAAAGACACGATGCGCGCCTTCCAGCGCACCGCCAATACGTACATCAGACTGTGGCGCCGAGGGTGGGCACATGCATCGGCGGCGGGAACGCCGCCAGCGGCGGAATCAACTCCTCAACACCACCTACGACCCGACTGTGTTGGTGGACCGGGTGCATACGGTTCTCCGACAGCAGGTAGCCGACCGGCTCATCGAAATCGCGACGAACTGGGTCTCACGGTTTCATCATGGGACCAACATGGGCGGCACCGTCCACGCGAAAACAAAGTGCAGAGTCAATACCGCCTCTACGCCAGAACGGAGGTTGGGCCAGCGACGTGCGTACGGGATACCGCACCACGGCCCGACCCAAGAGCCCGATCTTCCAGCGGGGCTCTTCTACGAATGTGCCGGGTACTAAACCAAGCCCAGGTGGGATGTCGCATTTGCGGCGTTGCTGGGAATCGGGGCGGGAGTCCGCGGGAGTGTTCGGCCTTGATGCAGGACCGTCGCGCAGCGCCGTCTCACCGTCTTTCCGGCTGAGCACGTCCGGCCAGGAATTGCCGACCCTCTCCTGCACAGCCGCTCAGCATGCTCCCCAGGCACAGATGCCAGTGGCCTCTCTCTCTCGCCAAGTCCCAGATAGCCGTCATCGGCGTTGAAGTCGGCTGTAGCCGGCAGGTTCACAGCTCAGCTCCAGCTCAGGCGTCCTCTGAGGGTCCTCCCGCACGCTCCCACTGGCTGGGCCGGCGCATTGTCCCAGATGACCGCAGCGGCCCTGGAGTTTTCCTATCAGTTGGTCGGAACGGAACCGAGGTCGATGTTGCTGTTGCCCTCCAGTTCCTCCATTAACTCAAGCCCCGTCTCCAGGCAACCGCTGATACGTGCTGGACTTCTCCCCCACACGGGGCTTTTCTGGAGTCCAACCACTGCAGGCTTACTCAGCACCAATTGCC